CACAAGCTTCGTGGCCCCACAGGAAGCCCCATCACCAAAGGCTCAATAGCAACGCCCGCATGCGCCCGCCGCACCCATTTCGGCACACCCCTTATGCGGTTCGTGGCCCTCATAGGGAGCTCCACCGAAGGCCAAACAGGCAGCAACCGCATGCGCCCGCCGCACTCAAATCCCTCATATGCTGTGTGGCCCCACAGGAGCTTATCCGAAGACACCAAAGGTAGCGCCCGCGTGCGCTCGCCGCATTTGTTCGTGCACACCCCTCACACTTTTCGTGGCCTCAGAGGGAGCTCCACCGAAGGCCCCAGTGGCTACGCTCGTACGCTCCCGCCGCACACATTTCGGCACATCGCTCACACGTTTCGTGGCCCTCATAGGGAGCTCAACCGAAAGCCCAAAAGGCGGCGCCCGCATGCGCCTGCCGCACCCATTTCGGCATATCCCTCACACGCTGCGTGGCCCCACAGGAAGCCCCACCAAAGGCTCAAAAGGCAGCGCCCGCACTCGCCCGCCACAAAGATTTCGGAACACCACTCACACGCTTCGTGCCCCTCAGGAAGCCCCACCAAAGGCTCAATAGCAACGCCCGCATGCGCCCGCCGCACCCATTTCAGCATGCCCATCACACGCTTCGTGGCCCCCATATGGGAGCTCCACCACCAAAGACCAAAAAAACAACGTTCGTATGCTCCCGTCGCACACATTTCAGCACAACCCGTCACACGCTCCATGGCCCTCATAGGGAACTCCACCGAAGGCCCGACAGGCAACGCCCGCATGCGCCCGATGCACCCATATCGGCACACCCTTCACACGCTTCGTGGCCCCCAAAGGAAGAGCTCCTCCGAAGGCCCTAGAGGATTCAGTGGCATCGCCCGCGTGCCGCCGCCATCCCACTTTGGCACACCCTCACACGTTCCGTGCCCCCATATGGAGCTCCACCGAATATGATATCCACCACTGCGGTACTCACAGGTGCATATAGTTGGGTCCTTCGCCAGGCCAATTTTCAAGTTGGCTCTGGAGGCCCCCAAGAGCACCCAAGATTATCGCAAGAGGCCTCCAAGAGTCCTCCAAGAGCTCTGGGGAAGCCCTCGAGCATTACGATTTTGCGTTCTCGCATTACCGCCTCCGACACGCTTCCGAGGCTTGCGCATACTACCTAAAGGACTCCATGATGCCTCCCGGGCGGCTCCTGGGAGCTCGTTGGGGCCTGCTCGGAGCGTCTGTGGCTTAAGAAGAAAATGCTGCATACGCATAAACTTGGATATTCCTCCTGTAGAGGGACAGGCCCGACGTAATGCTAGAACCCGCTCCCTGGCGCGCGGGCTCATTGGCGCGCGGAGCGCGCGCGCCAGGGGCGCTGCCGGAGGCGCCGCGGGGGGGGGCGCTGCGCCGATCCAAGACATCCGCGCGGAGCTGCGAGAGTTACGTTTACGGCGCTTTTTCTTTTTCGCTGTGGGGCCCCTTTGGGCGTCATAGGATTAGGTCGGGCATGTCCTCCTACAGGCGGATTTTGGACGAAAACTTTCAAATAGTCATAAAAAATGCTCAAATATAGATTGAAGAATATTCAAAAAACTATAAGACGACCCCATACTATTCTTTGTCTAATCTTAAATATTCCTCCTGTAGAAGGACGTGCCCCATTTAATCATAGGATTTTCTTGTGGACCTCTTGTAATTCTCTTCGGGGGCTTGCGCAAGCCTCGGACGCGTGTCGGAGGCAGAAGTGCGAGAAAACAGATAATCATTGACTTTCGATTGGCTTTTCACTGATTTGGGCATCTCGAGGGTTTCCCTGGAGCTCTTGGGGGACTCTCGGAAGCCTCTTGGGGCAATCTTGAATGCTCTCGGGGGCTTCCAGAGCCGTCGGGGGCCAGCTGGGGCAGCCTTGGAGAAACCTTTTGCTGTCTCGGGGGCGTCCTGGGCTGTCTTCAAGCTCTGCTGAGGCTCTCTGGGTTGCCGGGGAGGGTAGTCCGGGGATTTGCCAGAAATGAGAGCGGTGGGTGCAGATATACAGATATGAATAAAACTATAAATCTACATGTCTGCTTGTAGATACACGCACATATTTTACGTGTATAGATGTACATATATATACATAGATAGATGTATACAGTCATCCGCACATGCATACATACATACATACAGACAGGCAGACAGACATGCACGTATACATACACACATTTCGATATACGTATGTTCATATATACGTGTATATATATACATATATACATATACCTATACATATCCTTATATATATGGGGGAAAATCGATGTGTGCTTGTATGTATATATACGTATGTATCGTTCCCGCTATCGCGTCCGTTGTTACATGTATGTCTATATGTGTGTGTATTCGCTTACCTGTCTGTACACCTGTATACACATACATGAATTAACATGTATACATATATATATATATCTATATCATGGACAGAGTCCGATCTGTACAAATTGTACGGACTCATGTCTACACATGTATGCACACATACACGTGTACTGGAAATATCATATGTAAGCCTACATATACACATGCTATACCTACATCCGCTGACGTGCACTTGAAGCCAGCAACCCTTAAGTCCCTTTGAGTGGCCCAAGCCCAGCATTGCAAAATCGTCTGGGGCCCGTCGCGTGCCCCCTGAGGCGTGTCGTATCTCCCCGCAGGACTTGTTCAGGCCCAAGGAAGGCCCCAAGACGAGCCAAAAGGCCCCGAGAGGCCGTCTAGACAGCCCACGGGGTCCCCGAATCGCCGAACGATTGGTGCAAGACGCCCAAGATGGCCCCAAGAGGGCCCAGGAAACCTTCGAGGCGTCCCAAGAGAGCCCCAAGAGCCCGCACAAGATGGTCCCGAGAGGCCAACGTCATTGTCCTTAGGTGTTTCAATGATTTAGGGGACCTCGATTTTTCGAGCTTCCCACGCTCCAAGAGGCCCAGGACGCCCAAGAGACCCCCAAGGACGCCCCAAGACGGCCGAAAAAACCCTAAGGAGGGGCCCAAGACGACCGAGAGGGCTCCAAGACGGCCCCCCCGAGGCGCCCAAGACGGCACAAGAAGGCCCAAAGACAGCCCCATGAAAGGCCCAAGAGGGGGAACACGAACGCAAAAAACATGAGTCTTCCGCCCCCAGGAATGTCCAGGAGGCCCCGAGGAGGTACCAAGAGGCCCCCAAGAGGTCCCCAAAGACCCCCAAGAGGCTTCCAAGACGCGCCACGAGGCCCCAACACGGCTCCCAAGAGGCCTCCAAACAGCCCACGGGAGGCCCCCTAAGAGGCGAGAGCCCCCCCCGGGACATCCCAACGAACACCCTCCAGCCCTATGACCTACAACGCAGGCATGGTGGCAGGATGAGCCGAAATCCACTATGCGTGTTTACATATTTAGAGATGCACGAATATGCGTGTACACATATATATGTACATACATATATATATATATAGATGCGTTGTGGTGTGCGCGTGAAAAGTTTCGTACCCCTACACATAGATGCACATCCATACAGACTTGCGAACATGCATACATACATGCATACATACATACATACATACATACATGCATGCATGCATGCATGCATGCATACCTACATACATACATATCTGCCGACACACACACACATGCGTGTATGCATATATACATATATGCATGCATACATACATACGTTGTATTCAGCCATTGCAAACATGCATACATACATGCGCATGTGCATGCATGCATACATACATACATACGCATGCACAAACATACGACTATACATATGTCTAAGCATATGCATATACATGTACATGTACGTATACATACACATATACCTATACGTATACATATACACATACATATACATATACATATGCATATACATATACATATACATATACACATACATATACACATACATGTACAAATTAATATACATACACATAAACATACATATAAACACATACGTACACGTATACATATACACATACATTTACATACGCAATCACAGAAACATAGACATACGCATAGGCATCTGCATTTACACATACATATACATAGACATCTGCATACACACACCTACATAAATTAACACATGGATGCGTACATGCGTGCACGCATGCATAAAATGCATACACACATACACACATACACGCACTGACATAGGTACGTATATACATGCATGCATGCATGCCTACATACCTATACGTAGGCGTGCGTGCATGCATGCATGCGTGAATAATTGCATGCATGCATACAGGCATACACACATGCAAACATGTATTTATACATATGCACACACACACACCTGTATACATACATTCATTACAACGCAGTGCATTACAATGCATTGCATTACTGTACACTGCAGTACACCACATTAAACTAAACTGCATCTTTCTAGATTACTTGACACTACAACACGTTACAATACATCACGCTGCGCTACCTTACATTACTTTGCATTGCATTCCACTGAAATACATTACCTCGTATTACATTACGTGCCATTACACTACAATACAGTGCACCCGTACGGAACATTCGTACCTGTATACACATGCAGACACAAACACATACAGACATACACGCATGCATGCATGCATGCATGCATGCATGCATACACACATACATAACTACAGACCGACAGGCAGGCAGACAGACAGACAGACAAACAAACGTACGTACTTCGCTACGTATGTACGTACACACATGTATACACATGCATATATATATATATATATATGCATAAGCTAGCACGTACAGATTATGTGAATACGTGCATGTGTATCCCGTTCCGTGAGTCCGCGTGTGTGCCCGAAGGTCGGTTTCAATATAATTGTCCCTCTACCCTCTCAATATACATCTCTCTGTCTCTCTCTCCCTCTATCCCTCCATCCCTCTCTGTGCATATGTGTGGATATTTGCATGCAGATCTGCATGAATGTGTATCTCCACTGCTCACTCGTCTCCTTATTCTTCCTGCATGGTGTCAGCCTGCCTAGCATAATTCCTCCCGCAGCCCACCAAGAACGTGGGGTAGCCGCCATACCCAGCACGCCTGACTGGAGCGGCTGAACAGCAAAAAAAACATGTGTGCTGCGCGACCCGTGCTACAGTCATCGTGCTGGCAGACGGTGCGCCGAATGAGGAACGCAGGGCTGTTTCGGCCACGGCAAGTCTATCTGGGCCACGAACTGAACTAACTGCTCCCCCGACTGAGGAACGACCCGACAACCAAACCCCTCCTGAGCCCAAGAGTACCCGATTTCAGCGCCTCCACTGCACCCAAGCACAAAGAGCGCACACCTCTGCGTGCGCGCTCCGATCCAAGCAGGCGAGTTGCACAACGACGCGGGCAAACACGGGCACCCGCGCAGAGAAGCAGATAAGCAGCGCATTCACGAACAGACGCATCGTGCAAACAGGCGAACGTCGTCTCCTCAGCCTTCCTGTATGATGTCAGCCCGCTCCTGCCTGCCCGAGCAGCAATCCATGTATGACGATCGCACAGATACCCGGGTGCCGGAGGCACGGACCAAGATTTTCCCCGAGCTCTAGATTGGCACGGCCTTCGGGCTGGTGGGGAGTAGCGCAGCGTACCGTACCACTACACCCGAATCGACTAGAGCCGCGCAGAGAAAACAATTCTGACTTGATCCCCAGATCTCCGACATCGCGCTCTTAACGCGACCCAGGCCCCAAGAACTCTCGAGCCCATCCCCGAGACCCGTCCTTGTCATTGGTCGTTCTTCAGACGGCCCCGGGCATCGCGAACGGCCCCTGGAGGTCGAAAACCTCTCGTCGTGATCAGGGCGCCGTAGACGAAAAACTGGTAAACCAGCAAATTGGCACCCGTGATGCGACGGGGGAGGAGGAGGAGGAGGAGGAGGAGGAGGAGGAGGAGTAAAAGGAGGAGGGGGAGGGGGAGGAGGAGGAGGAGGAGGAGGGAGGAGGAGGAGGAGGAGGAGGAGGAGGAGGGGGAGGGGAGGGGGAGGAGGAGGGGAGGGGGACAAGCTAGGTGCGCTCGCGTCATATCTGACGTCCTACCCCTCCCTCCCATCCCTTACCATGGCGCTGATTTTCTCTATCCGCGGACGCGTGTCGTGGCGGACCTGTGGCTCCGCGCGCGCGTGCGTAGTGGGTGGTGGTGCGCGTTCGTGCGTGCGTGCGTGTGTGCGTGGTTGTGGTGGTGGTGGTGTGGTGGTGGTGGTGGTGGTGGTGCTGGTGGTGGTGCTGGTGGTGGTGGTGGTGCTGGTGGTGGTTGTGGTGGTGGTGGTGGTGGTGTGGTGATGGTGGTGGTGGTGGTGCGGCGCGGTGGTGGCGGGCGGATGGGCGCGCGAGAAAGAGGCCCGCGCTGGGGCGAGAACGCCATCCTGAACGACGGAGGCCAAACACCGATCCGAAAATGAGGCCCACGCTGCAGCGGGAGCACGATTCGGAACGATTCGGGAGCAGAAATGAGGCCGGCGCCTCAGCGAGAGCAGCATTTTGAGAAAAAAAAAAAGAAGGAAAAAAAAGGCAGGCGAAAACCCAACTCCCGGGAATCCTGTGTAAAAAAAAAGTACGCGGGGGGGGTCGGCCACTCCCAGCACGCCATCAGGGGAAGAGGGAGAGTAGTATTCATATTGAGTAATTGTGGAGGAGAGGGCCCTCCTGGGCCAACTGCGCTGTCGCAGCTGCTGGCGCCAAACACCACGCGGCGCAGGCGCCGAGCCACGAGCGCCTCGGACTATACCAGTGAAGCCCGCGCGGCCCTCGTCGTGTCGCGCCTCGCATGTGGGCAGAATATGCTGGGCGCCACGCGCGTCTCGATGTGCGCTCGCGTGCACGGGCACGGGTGCACACCTGGACGTGACACCGTCTGCGTGCGCGATTCGTTCCATTCGCTGGGGCTCTGCGTGTGCCGTGAGCGTGTCCACAGAGGTTCGCTCATCGCCGTGGCGGTGTCCCTGCTCGACTTCCCGCCGCTGCCCGTAACCTAACGGCACGTCGGAGGAAAAAGTGTGAGCGTGTAATTCGCTCGGCGCTCTCGACCCGCGAATCAAAGAAAGTAATTCGCTCGACTTACCTGGGGTTCTAAGTTTCGGCATCGGTCCCACAAGGTGGGCAACCACTGCAACCCATCGGCGCGCGGGACGAAACAAGTATGTGCGTGCAAGGGTGTTTACACACAATTTTCACCCTAATGCGCACTTGCACGCACGAGTACGAGCATGCACGCATACACCAGTAGAAGGGAATACAGATGCACGGCGCAGATAGAAACCATCATTCAAGAGCATGTTCACCTCCACGTCCTCATCCTCCCCCTCCTACTCCTTCTCCTCCTCCTCCTTGCAAGTATAATCATCAGCATCATTATCATCAACATCAACATCAACATCATCATCATCATCATCATCATCATCATCATCATCATCATCATCATCCTCATCATCATCATCAGCATCATCATCATCAGCATCATCATCATCATGAGTATCCGCATCATCATCATCATCACCATGAACCATTATCACCATGAACCATCGTCATCATCATCAGCATCATCATCATCATCCTCATTATCATCATCAGCATCAGCATCAGCATCATCATCGTCATCACCACAACCACCTCCATCATCATCATCAGCATCATCATCAGCAGCTCCATCATCATCGTCATCATCAGCAGCATCAGCATCATCAATAGTAAGCATCAGCATCATCACCACCACCACCATCGCCGTCACCATCGTCATCATCATAATCGTTGTCATCACCATCGCCATCATCGTTATCATCAGCATCAGCATCAGCATCAGCATCAGCATCAGCATCATCATCATCATCATCACCATCATCATCATCATCATCATCATCGTCATCATCGTGATCATCACCATCATCATCGTTATTATTGGCATCATCAGCAGCAGCAACATCAGCATCTCCATCGTCGTCGCCAGCATAATCATCAGCATCATCGTCATCAGCATCGTCACCACCACCATCATCAACAACATCATCAGCATAGTCATCATCATGATCATCATCATCATCAGCAGCAGCAGCAGCATCAGCATCATCATCAGCATCAGTATCAGCATCGTCAACACCATCATCATTTTCATATTCAACATCATACTCATCACGGTAAGCATCATCATAATCAGTATCGCCAGTATCCTCATCCTTACCATCGTCATGGTCCTCCTCCCCCTCTCCATCATCAACATCATCGACATCATCATCACTCTGCTCGTCCTGATCCTCATCATAATAAGCATCATCCTCCCGTCGTCATTATCATCCTGCAGAGTCGTCACCATCATCACACTGCCATCGCTCGGACGTCCATTCCCCGTGCATGTTTCGGCTTCGTGCGTGATCAAAGATGCTCTCCGATGGTCCACCCGAGAGAAATGCACACGTCCGAGCGATGTCAGATCATCAGAATCATCATCGTGATCGCAGTCGTCGGCCATCATCATCATGATCATCATCAGCATCATCAGCATCAGCATCATTATCATTATCATCGTCGTCGTCGCTCTCCTCCTCCTCCTCATCATCATCATCATCAGCATCAGCATCAGCATCAGCATCATCATGATCATCATCATCAGCATCATCATTGAATCATCATCACCACCATCACAACCACCACCATCATCATCATCATCATCATCATCATCATCATCATCATCATCATCATCAACCACCGCACCCGACGACGACGACGACGTCGACGACGGCCAGGGCGCCCTCAGCTGGAAGAGTCGCCGCTCCTCGCCGGCCCTTTCCTTGAGGGAGACGCCGCGGCGGCTGGGGCGCTCTCGCGGCTGCGGCTGCCACTGGGCGGCGATCGCCCTTCGCTGCCGCGAGAGGAGGTCCCATGACAGCGACGACGGCGACGACGACGTGCGACGACGACGACGACGACGACGACGTGCGACGACGACGACGACGTGGCTGACTGAATCACGTAGCTCCCAGGGGTCGTCACAAAGGGAGCCGGGGTGAAGTATCGGCCAGCGCAAACTCCAAAAAAGATTCGAAGACCGAGATGACGGGGAATGGAGTGGACTGAAGTAGACTGGACTGGAGTAGAACACCCGACTCTACTCTAGCATCTACCCACTCTTCTCTGCTCTACCCTACTACCCTACTCTACTACACCCTACACTGCGCTACCCTAAACTGCCTTACTCTACTGTACTCTACTCTACTCTACTCTACTCTACTCGACCCTACTCCACTGTACCCATCTCTACTCTACGCCGACGCCATCTTCATACCACCAGCCTTTCAGGGCGTGAGCGGTTTCGAGGGTTTCCTCTTCCAACCCCCCTCCTCCCCTTCGGGGAGGGGTTCACTCCTCCGCCTGCCCCCTCCCCCTGTGCCCAGGGGGGGGGGGCGGGGGCGCGCTGGCTCGGCGAGAAGGCACACACCATTGACTCGACGCTGGGCCCGTACTGGCCTCCCGAGGGGGGGAACCCTGAGCAGGGACACTCCCTTCTTTGATCGGACTCCTCCAGGATGGCCGCAACATGGCCCACCAAGCTCCCAGCAGGGCATTGAGAGGGCCCCGAGAGGCGCCCGGGAGGCGCCCAAGAGGCCTCCGAGAGGCCCCGAAGAGGCGCCAAAGAGACTCCCGGGAGGCCTCAAGAATCTACCCCGAGGCACCAAGACGCCCCAAGAAGCCCACGGGACCACCAAGACACCCTCAAGGGGCATCAAGAGACCTCCAAGAAGATATCCAGAGACATCCGAAGAGACGACTCCGAGAGGCATCCAAGAGGCCTCTGACTTTTCTGTTCGCCCTCCTCTTCCTCCTCCTGCTCCTCCTCCTCATCCTCCTCCTCCTCGTCCTCCTCCTCCTCCCCCTCCTCCTCCTCCTCCTCCTCTCCTCCTCCTCCTCCTCACTCCTCCCCCTCCACCACCTCCTCCTCCTCCTCCTCCTCCTCCTCCTCCTCCTCCTCCTCCTCCTCCTCCTCCTCCTCTGATTGTCATTCGCAGTACCATTCGCATCCTTACCATTCACATTATAGTTTCTACGCTTAGTATGATCATTGGCATTCGTATGTGTAGTATGTGTATTATTATTCGTAGTACTATTATTCGCCGCCTTCTTCTTACTTTGTATTATCCATAGTATCCTTATTACGATTCGGAATATAATGTATTATCCATAGTATACGTATGACTTGTATTATCCATCGCAGTATACATAATAGTATGTGTTGCTCGGATTGTTCTTATTCGTAGTAGTAGTAGTAGTAGTAGTAGTAGTAGTAGTGGTAGTAGTGGTAGTAGTGGTAGTAGTAGTAGTAGTAGTAGTCGTAGTAGTAGTAGTAGTAGTAGTAGTAGTCGTAGTAGTCGTAGTAGTCGTAGTAGTCGTAGTAGTAGTAGTAGTAGTAGTAGCGCTCTTATTACATAGTCTTGTTAATAGTGTTAGTAGTATCGTTCGTCGTATTAGTAGTCGCGGTATTCCTCTTCTTGGCCGCATAAGTATTTGAATTCGCAATAGTATTGGTCTTAGCCATGCCATTATTATGTGCATGAATAGAGTTTAAATAGTTTTATTGTTTACATGCATTGTTAGTACTATTACGTGCAATATTAATATGGTTCGTCTGTGCATGTCTCTTGTTCTTACTCGTGGTAATATGATGTTTCTTAATATTGCTCTTGTTTAGCATTACTGTCAGCATTCGTAGTAGTATTCGTCGTCGTCTTCTTGTTATTATCATCGTCATGAGTTGTATGTTGCTTATTATTCCTCCTCATCCTCCACCTCCTCCTCCTCCGCCTCCGCCTCCGTGCCCGCCTCGTCCTCATCTTCGTTTTATGATTACCATTATTCTTATACTCATCAGAATCGCATGGTTATTCGTTGTAAGATTCTTAGTCGTGTGTTTCTCTCTTCGTATTACATGCATTTATGTTCTTGAAATGAATAGTAAGCTTACGCTTGTTATGATTAATAGTAGTATGCAGATTCGTCTTTATATGTTATTAGTCATATTGGTATACTTATCATTTGTCTTACTTCTATTCTTCTTACCAATATTAATACGTTACTAACATGGTTACCCTTACAATTATTACTCCTCCTCTTCCTCCACCTCATCATACTCATCCTCCCCCTCCCCCCGCCATTTCTCTCTGTCTGTTTGTCTGTCTGTCTGTCTGTTTGTCTGTCGTCTGTCTGTTTGTCTCTCTCTCTCTCTCTCTCTCTCTCTCTCTCTCTCTCTCTCTCTCTCTCTCTCTCTCTCTCTCTCTCTCTCTCTCTCTCTCTCTCTTTCTCATTATATATGATATATCTCCCTCTCTCTCTCTCTCCCTCTGTCTTTCTTTATTTCTCTGTCTCTCTCTCTCTCTCTCTGTCCTTTCCTCGACGCTCCACTGCTTTAGTCCCCACCTTCTAAGCGCCGCCAAATTAGCTGGGGGTGGGACTTGCGCCCGTTGTCGAGCCTAAAATAGTCGGCCGCGACACGTCGCACCTCCTGCGACGCGTCGCCGGGACCGCTGCGTTTTGGCACGCACACGATCGCCCGCCAGCACGTGGGAACGAGCGAAGGTCACCCACCCTTGCCCCAGTCCCTTGTGCGCACCGCCGAGGCTGGAGTGGAGGCCGCCCTGGTGGGGTCCGAGCTGATGGTGCTGGAGGCGATCGAACGGCATCGCCGATGCATCGCCGGGATCCTCCTCCTCCTCCTCCTTCGCCTCCTCCTCCTCCTCCTCCTCCTCCTCCTCCTCCTCCTCCTCCTCCTCCTCCTCCCCCTCCCCCTCCTCCTCCTCCTCCTCCTCCTCCCCCTCCTCCTCCTCCTCCTCCTCCTCCTCCTCCGTAGCCATTTTGGCTCAAGATGCCTAGTTCCACAGTGGAACAAGTGGATACCGCTAGTCCGCGGCCAATGCCAGGGCTCTTGAGCCCGACAGCTTTGTTCAACTCTCCGTGTGCCTCCTGCAGCCCGCAGGTGAGCTTCCTCTGTTCCTCAGCTCGTCCATGGCGCCCCCGCAGCAGCGCAGCGCCTATGTCAAGTGCTACTCCTGCTCGTACGCCTGGAACTACAAGACCAACCAGACATGCTACTGGTGCAGCAAAGCCTTGGCGCCGTGGACAGATTCCCCGCCTCCAGTTCAAGGCGCCTGGGCGGCCCGCGCCAAGGCCGCAGCCCAGGCCGACTCCAGCTGTACCCAGCAGCCCAGCCCCGAGACTGGATGGGAACCGTGGGCATCATGGCCCAAGTCCCGCCGCCGCCGAGGCAATGGCAATGGCAAGAACCAAGAGGACGACTGGTGGGCCAACAAGAACGACACCCCCAAGGTGCGCTCCGCAGAGGACATCCTTGCGGAGCTCCAGGCGATCGCCCCCCACATCGACAAGGCAGCCATCGACGGTATCAAGTCGCAGATCCCGCCGCCCCAGCCGCAGAAGCCAGCCGACCTCAACGACATCTACAGCCGCGCCCAGGCCACGGAGCGCCGCTGCAAGAACAACCTGGAGAGGCTGCTCGAGAGCGAGCAAAAGGCGCTCAGCTGGTACACCGAGCGCAAGGCGGCGTCGGAGGAGGCCGCCTACAAGTTGGCAGAAGCCCAGGCCGAGGCTCAAGCCGCTCTCGATGCACTCCAAGTCGCTCGCAAGGGCGGCACGGCTACCCCCACGACCTCGCAGCAGAACCCGACGTTCAACCTCACCAGCCTCCTCGAGGACGGTGACATCTCCATCGAAGCGGGTTCGGCTTTCGATCTCCAAGGCCTTGACATCGACGACAGCGATCGCCAGGCATGGGAATCCCTTCAGCAGCGCTTCGCCACGGAGCTCAAGGCCAAGGTCACCGAGCTCTTCGGCAACACCGCCAGCCGCATCAGCCAGCTCCGCACAGAGGCCAGCACCATGCGCACCCGCTTCGCCGCCAAGCGACAGCGGTCCGACGAGGACGGTCACGCCCGAGAGGGAGGTGGATCACCGCCCGCCGCCTCGGCGACAGCAGGCGAACCCCCAGCGGCAGCCGCAGCGGACGTTGATGGCTCTGCGGCCTCATCGACAGCGGCGCCAGGCGATGAGCCTCCCGCACCTGCTGCTGGCGCTGCTTCTGACGGCAGCTTCGCTGCACAGCCTGTACCAGCGATCAACAAGGACCCCGACCTCGAAGACAAGGCACAGAAGATGCTCAGCCAGATGCGCAAGCCCACCGCGACCGCCGCGGCTGGAGCGCAGCAACCTCTTTAGCCGACTACTACCCGACCCTGGACGGAATGGTGAGACGGGACGTCTACCGTCAGAGACCAAGTACTACGACAACCCACCGACCATCAACACAATGGACGCAGTCCTCGACCCGTTCGACGAGCTGGCCGAGTTGGACGCCCACATCGATTTCGCAGCCACAGCTCAGTATGCTACCGCCCCGCCCGAGACGCTGTCCTCGGTTGGGGGCGATGAGGCGGCACAGTCCGTCGACGCAGTGTCATGGGACCCAGGGCAGCCGCAGCGTGCCGCGCGAGCCGACCCTGATGCCGCTCCGCCCGAGACGTTGTCCTCGGTAGGGAGCGATGAGACGGCCCAAGCTGTCGTCAAGCATCTGGTTCAGGAACCAGGGGAGCCGTTGCCAACGGCACACCCTGATGCCGCCCCGCCCAAGACGCAGTCCTTGGTAGGGGGCGATGGGATCGCGAAAGCTATCGACTCGACCTCTGTGAAAGGCCCATGGAAGCCCAGCAGCCCGAGACCCGACCCCATACCCGTCTACCAAGACGATGGCCCTACGAGTCCCACGCCGTCAGATCACTCCCTGTTCTTCTCCAATATTACTCAGTGGGGGCCACAGTCGGAGAAATGGCTGGCAGGACCAGGCAAACAATATCAGATGGTGGCATTGGTTGAAACACACATCTCGCACGGTAAAGCCCCTCTCATCTACGACAAGCTAGCAGCGGATGGTTGGAGGGTATCATCGACTACAGCCACGCCGACCAGCAGATCCGACGGAGGCAACACGGGTGGCGAGATTATCCTCTCCAGGTACCATGTCCAGGCCACAACCTTCAACCACCTCCGCGACCTGGCCATCTCCCAGCGCAGGCCCGACCCGTTCCGAGGCTTCACGCCCATGGTGTGGCACAGACGCTCTGGCAACCTGGTTGTTATTGCAGCGTATCTGGAACCCCACAGGCAGATCGAGGGTGCAGTGCACGATAAGCTACTCTCGCTGGGGGCCTTCGTAACTATGCTCACTGACCCGTGGATCATCCTGGCCGATTGGAATATGACTCCTGAGCAGCTCGCGGCGACAGAGTGGCCCGCCAAATGGAATGCTACCGTCGTGCGAGCGCCTGGATCTGCCACGTGCGACAAGGGCCAGGGACTCACGCTCGACTTCGCATTGGTCAAGACTGGCATCGAGCACACGATCTCCATTCGCCAGTGCCCCACCGTCCCCTGGGCCACCCACGTGGGCCTTGAAGTTCGAGCAGGCAGTGCAGACCCCTGGTGGTATCAGTCGATCCATACCCCCAGGGCTTTCCCACAGTGGACAGACCCAGGATCCCACCCGACCCCAACAGCAAGTCCGCCATCAAGAGACGTAAAACAGCAGAAGCTCGAGCAGCACGCCTACGTGAGCTACCCCCTGAACTCCAACAAGCAGCAGCACAACTCCAGCCACAAGACGAGCCCGCAGCACAGGAGCCTATCCCTTACGCTATCCCTTCGGACCTCTGGGAGGAGCAATGGCAGCAAGCAGTACCCACACGTTGTAAGCAGCCCCACGCGCACTTCGTGTACACCCACTGGGTGCACGAAGCCGACGACCTCAACCTCAAGTACGCCAAATGGGTCACGGCGCTCGAGAACACCATGATCAGCCACCACCAGATCGACCCCAAGGAAGCCGCAGCATTCACAGGCCGTGCCCAAGGCTACCAATTGTCCTGGAAGAAGACGGCCGCCGCCCCAGGCCGAGTTCACGTACACGACCCTCAGTCGGAATGGTGGGCAATCACGCTCACCCTCATCAAACGCTACGCTGCGCTTCACGACAAGCCCAAGCACACTGCGCTCATGCAGCAGCAGGCCTCCATCATCCAGCAGCGCGCGGACCACTTCAACACTCACTTCCACGACCTCCAGTTCGAGAAGGACGAGGACACCATCTTCCGCTGGTTTGCACTCGTCTGGGCCCCGCACTTGGACAACGAGGACACCGACGACTTGGTCACTATCACTGCTACTTGGGCCTCCAGAGCGCTGGCTGCCGCCCTCGCTAAGTCCAAGAGGGCCTACGGTGCTTGGCTCGCCAAGCAATGGAAACGCCGCCCTGGAGTACTACACGCCCATGTCAAGCCAGCGCCCGTGCGTCACATCGAGGCCTACACGACCAACCTGACCATCGCCGACCCCACCGTTATCATGGACAGCAAGAAGCAACAATGGCAACAAATATGGCAGGCCACCGAGACCCCCGACGACATCCTACAGGCGCTGTCAAAGGCCAAGGCAGCAGCCGCTCGCCAACCGCTCGAGCCCGTCACAGCCGAGATCGTACACCGCTTTCACGGCCGCATGCCACCCAGTAAAGCACATGGAGTTGACGCCCTTGGACCTCGCGACCTCCATCGACTACCAGAACCAGCAGTCGAAACCTATGCGGATATCCTCAACGCGGTAGAGCAAGCAGGCATTTGGCCACTACAAATCTCAGGCACTATTGCAGCCCTAGCAGCCAAGAAGTCTGGAGGCGACAGGGTTCTCGGCATGCTACCTCACATGGCCAGACTCTGGTCTCGCATCAGGTCGACTGCATCTACATCCTGGACCCAAGGCCTGGACGACTTTTGGACTACAGCCATCAAAGGCTCCTCAGCTCTCCAGGCCGCCCTACACAGGGCCTTGTTAGACGAGACAGCTTCAGCACTTGGCATACAGTCAGCCGCATTGCTATTAGACATCCAGAAGTTCTACGACAATATCAAGCTCGCCAACCTCATTATGGTCGGCCTCAACTGCGGCTTTCCCCCCATCATTCTACTTCTGGAAGTGCAGCTATACCTGGCGCCCAGATTCTTGCGCAGTCGACAATGGGTGAGTATGCCTATCTTCGCCCCCAAAGGCATCATCGCAGGCTCCCCGCATGGCACGACCCTGGCACGACTCATATTACTTCCTATCTTACGGCAAGCCCAAGCGCAGGCAGAGCTGGCCCAGATGTGGACCTTCGTAGACGACACTGTCCTTCGAGTCGAAGGAGTCCTACGCACACTACAGAAGCACCTCCCCCGTGCCGCCAAGACGCTCTGCGACGGTCTAAAGGAGTTCGAGCTGCCCATCTCTGACAAGACGGTCCTCATCGGCTCCACCCCCAAGGTCCGCAAATCGCTAGCCAAGAAGTTGCGGCAGTACGACATCCCTGTTACAGCGACCGCCACGGCCGTCGACCTCGGAGTTGACGCGGCTGCGGCTACTCGACGGGTACAAGCCAAAGCCAGGAAGCGACAGAGCTCAGCTGCAGCTAGGTTTCGCAAGATACACCGACTACGGAGCACTGCACAGCAGGCTCGAATCTCGGCAGGACTGTGGCGTACTGGCGCTCTCCCCGAAGGAGTCTTTGGCCATCAGGTACACGGCCTTGCTCGACACGCTCTACTACGATGGCGCCGTCAGGCCGCCATCGCGGCCACGGGGGCAGCAGCGGGCCGATGCCTCACCTCCCTCCTCGGCGCCACCTTCGACGGCATGGACCCAGGAGTTTCCCTAAGGATCGAATTCATCGAGGCTTGGCTCCAGCACTGGATACGCCACCCGAGCACGCACGCCAGGATCATCAGAGCATGGCCAAGGATCAGGACCACTTTGCTAGCCGCAGGCCCCAAGCTGTGGCGCAGGGTCAAGGGGCCCACTGGCGCGGCCATCGCGACCCTGCTGGAGGCCAGCTGGGAGCCGACCTCAGCTACCACGTGGAGGCGCACGAAGGACGGCTACATCGAGGAGTGGAACCTCCCCTCTGCCGTCGACCCGGACCTCCCCGACGCCGACATTCACACAGTGTTGCAGGACCTCAGCGAGGATTTGCACAGGCTCCTCTGGACCCAGGCCGCCACGCACGATCATGGTGACACGCTGGCTAGAGGAGCGGACATGGTCACCATCCGCATTGAACAAAGGAGGCTCCTCGCAAACGGTGATTTCAGCGACTGGGCCCTCAACAACACCGTCATCAGTGGTGGACAATGGACCAGGGACCGCCTCCACAACGCGGGCTACCAGATCGACAAGAACTGTGACCGATGCAGCGCAGGAGTTCCTGAAACCCTGTTTCACCGCATGTGGCAGTGCGAGGCGAATGTGGGACCTGAGTTTGAGGCCAGTGACAAGTTACTACCGAGAGCCGTGGCGGGGTCCGATGCTGACCCTGCCCTGTGGCTCCGCGGCATCCCTTCTGTCGCTCTCACTACGCCCGCGTTCGAGCCATTGACTGGGAGGGACGGGTGGGAGTTTGTTGGTGCGGTGCGGGAGGGGTTGCCGTCGTGGGAAGGAGCTCGTAACGCTGAGGGCGAGTTGTTTCTTTTTGGCGACGGTTCAGGCGGCGCCTTTTCCGACGACGTCAGACGAAGACGTGTTGGTTCTGGCCTCGCGGCCCTCCGATGGGACCCTCCCTCGGCCTCTTGGACCCTCCACGCGGGTCTCCTCGCCCCCCTCCCAGGCCCCCGCCAGACCGTCCCAAGAGGCGAATTGCATGCGTTTTGCCTGGCACTGGAGACGTGCCAGCAGGATTTCACGTTTGTCACTGATCACCTAGCCCTGCAGCGCGGCTGGCAGAATGGCAGATGTCTCCGACCTGGCAGCCTCAGAGGCAAGAATAAGAATGGGGATCTCTGGCTGAGAATTCGGCACCTCGTGCAGGATCGATCTGGCGGCTGCTCTTCGGTCTCGGTGCTCTGGACCCCATCTCACGCCGATCCCCTCACTTTGAATGGTTTCCAAAAATTTATGGCCCTCGGCAACCAGCATGCCGATGAGCTCGCGGGAAGCGCGGCCCACAAGTCGGCCACCCTTGCCCTCCCGCCTGTCCCCAGGACCGATGAATACGACGCTATTGCAGCCATCGTCCGACAGAGGGCTCGACTGATTTTACGTTCCTTAGGCAAGAATTCAGAGCCTCGAGGACTGTGGCCAGACAGGCAATCCACCCAGGAGGCAGCCCCTCGCTCTCAGTTGCAGACCGCGATCGCGGCTTCTCAGCACAAATTCGAGCGGTGTGCCGACAAATGGAGATGCCCTGCCTGCCTCATCATCGTTGACGCTTGCCACGTTATTCCAGCTGCCGCCACTGAGTGTGTGCCGCCTTGCCCCCTCCCCGAGTTCGCTGCGTGTGGAGAGGTGCTGTGGTCGAGGGGTCCCCGCGTGATCAGTGGCAAGTTGATCCACCCCTCCCACACTTTGGCCACCATCCCCAAGTGGCAATTGTTTTTTTGTGTGAAGTGCGGCCATACGGCCACGCACCAGGTTAAAAGCCTCCTTTTACCGTGCCCTCTCTCCCACCAAGTGGGAGAGCGCAGGGCCCTGGCACCCTCTGGCAAAGGCCTCGAGAACCTCAGCAGGATCAGGCGAGGCCTCCACCCGTCCAGAGCGGGTCCCAGCAAGTCTGTGCTTGAGGCGTTGCACCTTTCGGCAGCCGAAGCCGCGATAGGTTCCTTCGCGGCGGGCGCCGCCACCGAGTAAATTGTGAGGCCAGGGGGGCCTGTCGCGGTGGGCCGTGGGATGTCGCCCCCCACGGCCCTCCGAGAAATACTGGATGGCCCCCCTGGCATCTCTGGGCTCGAACGGACTACGTCCGATTGCTCCACTCCACTCCTCCTCCTCCTCTTGGACCCCGAATGGCACCGCATCGCCGATGCTCGGACGCCTCCCGCGCGGCCTGGGCGATGGCGTTGCCCAGGCTGCGTCTCCGGCGGAGGCCCGCGCGGGGCACGGCGAGCGCAAGCGGTGCTGCGCGCCACGGGGAGAGCAGGCGGAGAGAAAAGAAAACACTAAGGGGAAGGAAGAGGAGGAGGAGGAGGAGGAGGAGAATGAGGAGCAGGAGGAGTAGAATGAGGAGCAGGAGCAAGGAGGAGGAGGAGGAGGAGCAGGAGGAGGAGGAGGAGGAGGAGCGAGGAGGAGGAGGAAGTGAGACGCGAG